TGAAATCAGAAAAGGTTTCTTCTAACAGATCTGATCTAAAAGGATCAAATGTCAGATCATTTTTGTAACAAAATATGATCCCTGGTTTGAACTTTAGTAGTTACCTCATTCGACCGGGCGCAGTGGCTCACGCCTGTAATCCTAGCACTTTGGGAAGCTGAGACGGGCAGATCTTGAGGTCAGGAGATCAAGACCATCCTGGCTAACACGGTGAAACCCCGTCTCTACTGAAAATACAAAAAATTAAGGCAGGTGTGCTGGCAGGTGCCTGTAGTCCCAGCTACTCAGGAGGCTGAGGCAAGATAATTGCTTGAACCCGGGAGGTGGAGGTTGCAGTGAGCTGAGATCACGCCACTGCACTCCAGTCTGGGTGACAGACTGTCTCAAAAAAAAATAAAATAGTTACCTCATTCACAGTAAAACCAACCACTGCCAGTGTTTTTAATCCTCCTCCATTTCTCTGTACCTGAAGGCAGTTAATCTGGGGATTAATAACTGTTTAGCCCCTCAATCTCTATGAATACCTTCCTTCCTTTCTTTTTTAATTGAGGTGAAAATCGTATAACATAAAATTAATAATTTTTTTTTTTTTTAGATGGAGTCTCGCTCTGTAGCCCAGGCTGGAATGCAGTAGCACGATCTTGGCTTACTGCAACCTCCACCTTCCGGGTCCCACTTCAAGCAATTCTCCTCCCTCAGCCTCCCAAGTAAATGGGATTATAGGCACGAGCCACCATGCTTAGCTAATTTTTGTATTTTTTAGTAGAGACAGGGTTTCACCATGTTGGCCAGTCTGGTCTTGAACTTCTGACCTCGTGACCCACCCACCTTGGCCTCCCAAAGTGCCAGGATTATAGGCCTGAGCCACCGCAGCCAGCCAAAATTAATAATTTTAAAGTGAGCAATTAAATGGCATTTAGTATATTCACAGTATTATGCAACCACCATTTTTGTCTTATTCCAAAACATTTTTGTCACCCCAAAAGAAGACCCCATTACCATTAAGGAGTTACTGTCCATTTTCCCTTCCACCCAGCCCTTAGCAACTACCAATCTACTTTCTAAGTTTACCTATTCTGGATATTTCATAGAAATGGCATCATACAATATATATATATAATCTTTTGTGTCTGACTTTCTTTACTTAGCATGTTGTTGAAGTTCATCTACATTGTAGCATGTATTAGTAGCTTATTTCTTTTTATAACTGAATAATACACATCTTCATATGTATACTTATATCCCAATTTGTTTATCCATTTATCCATTGATGGACCTTTGGGTTGTTTCTACCTTTTAGCTGTTGTGAATAGAGGTGCTATGAACATTCATATATAAGCATTTGTTTGAGTATCTGTTTTTAAATATTTTGGGCATATACCTAAGAATGAAATTGCAAAGTTATATAGTAATATGTTAATTTTGGGGGGAACTGCCATATTGTTTTCTTTAGTGATGACACCATTTTACATTCTCACCTGCTGTGTACAAGGGTTCCAATTACTCCATATCCTCGACACTTGTTATTTTCTGGTTTTTTTTTTTTGATAATGACAGGTATGAAGTAATATTCACTGTGATTCTAATTTGCATTTTCCTAATGACTGTTGAGCATATTTTCTTGTGTTTATTGTCCATCTGCATATATTCTTTGGGAAAATGTCTATTCACATATTTTATCCAATTTTTTAGTTGGGTTGTTTGGTAATTGTTTTTTGTTTGTTCTTTGTTTTTGATTTGTGGGAGTTCTTCGTATATTCTGGTTACTAACCCCAATCAGATATATGGTGTGCAAATATTTTCTTCCATTCTTTGGAGTGCCATTTCACTCTCTTGATAGCATCTTCTGATGTACAAAATTTTTTAATTTTGCTGTCTAATTTATCTGTTTTGGCGGTATTGCCTGTGCTTTTGGTATCATAGCCAAGAAATTATTGCCAAACCTTTGTCATGAACCTTTCCCCAATAGACTTTTATAGTTTTACTTCTTTCTTAAGTTTAGGTCTTTATACCTTAAACATTCAAAGTCAAATCATTCTATTTCATTAATTTGCAGAATGTTTCTGTCCATATTTCTGTGCTTATTCTCTCCTCTTAGAATTCCTTTTTTTTTTTATTTCCAAGTATTCAAATATTCCCATCTTTCAAGGTCTATACCAACTGTTACCTGCTTCGTGAAGAAAGCTACTGAAGAGATTCCCAACCACTGAAGAAATTCTCACCCACTGAACAGATTCTCTTCTTCTGATCTCCCGTTAGTGCTTTAGTTGCACTTCTCTGGTAGGATTTATAGAGTACCTTATATTATCTACTACATCTAATCTCTGTACAAGACATTTAGATGAGATATATATTTTTAATATTTGCTTCTATAGATAGTGTTTTGCAAATGATTTCATCTGTTTATCAGTAAATATATATTTTGTCCATTCTCGTTAGCATTTCATCAAATCTTTTTTCAACGTTCTTAGTTTCTTTGCATTGGGTTAGAACATGTTCTTTTAGTTCACAGAAGTTTCTTACTACCCACCTTCTGAAGTCTGATTCTGTCATTTCATCACACTCGTTCTCCATCCAAGT